GCTCTTTGCCGGGAAGCGGGCCGGGATGCGGGAAGGGCGGCCGGGCCGGCGCGCTGAGCTGCGCCCCCCTCGCAGGACTCGTCCCTGGAGCTGGACGTCGCCGCCGCAGACGCGCACAGCAGCACCGAGGACCTGCTCGCGGACTCCGCTCTCCATGGCACGGAGTATTTCCGAGATCTGGGATTCCTGAGCGCAGCGGCAGAGCCCGCGGCGCCGCCTGAGCCGGCTGCCCGCGCTGCCTCCACCTCCTGCCCGCGTGAGGAGACGCCGAGGGCTCTGAGCACAATGTCTGTGGACATCACGTTTTCCAAGCCCGTCTCCTGCTCGGTGCGTTCCGGGGAGGCCGAGCGCCGCTTCCCGAACAGCGACCGCGTTTCCCTGTGCGCAGCGGCTCTGCAAGAGGGACCTGGCACCTCTGAGTGCCCCGGAGCGCCGGGCAGAGCCCTGGAGCCGCGGGAGGCTGCGGAGACCTTCCCCACGCTCGTGAGATCCATGTCCACGTCCCGGAGACACAGCTGGGAGAGCCCCGCGTCGCCGCCGGGCTGCGAGCGCAGGTAGAGCCGGGCCGGAGCCGCGTCCCACACGGGGCCAGGGTGCTGCATGGAGCTGGGATGCTGCACAGGGCCGGGATGCTGCATGGAGCCAGGGTGCTGCACGGGGCCGGGATGCTCCTTGGGGCCAGGATGCTCCATGGAGTGCTGCACAGGGCTGGGATGCTGCACGGAGCCGGGATGCTGCATGGGATCCAGGTGCGGCACGGGGCCGGGATGCTCCGTGGGAACAGGGTGCTGCACGGAGCCGGGATGCTGCATAGGATCTGGGTGCTGCACGGGGCTGGGATGCTGCACGGGGCCGGGATGCTCCACGGGGCCGGCATGCTCCATGGAGCCGGGATGCTGCATGGGATCCGGGTGCTGCATGGGCCCGGGGTGCTCCGCAGAGCCGGGATGTTCCACGGGGCTGGGATGCTCCGCAGGGCCGGGATGCTCCGCGGGGCTGGGATGCCCCGTGGCCAGGGCCCTCGTGCTGCCCCAGCCCTGGCCCCTGCTGCTTGGGATCTACCGAGGTGGCTGGAAACCTCCTGCTCGCCCCAGGATAACGGGCACTGCGGCAGCAAGAGGCTTTGACGTCTGCTTGGCAATAGGAAGAGCCTCTTCTGCCTGTGGGGCTGGGAAGAGGATCTGTCTTTGGGCAGGGGGCACAAAACTCTGCCCAGGGGAACCCTCGAGCAGCACCAGCCGCCCCAATGTGCCCCAGCCCAGGGGCAGTTCTGTAGGGGCAGGACGGTGGAGCTGTGTCCCGTGTCCCGTGGGCTGTGACGCCGTGGGCTGTGTCCCGTGTCCCATGGGCTGTGTCCCGTGTCCCGTGGGCTGTGTCCCGTGTCCCGTGGGCCGTGACGCCGGCACCGCGCCGTGCTCCGTCCCGTCCCCGCGGCTCGGCCGGGCGTTTTCGCCCCCGCGCTTTCCCTCCCGACCAACATATCAATCCCGCTGCTGCCTGCGCTTTAGGTGCAAGCCCGCGACGACTGTTTTTATCCCCCCTCCTTATAAGATACCCTAAAATCATCCCAGCCTGAGGTCTGGACCACTCTTCATGGAGCTCAGGCTTCGCTTTGCTGCCGCGCTGCTGCAGAACAGCCGGTTCACGCTGTGCAACAGGCGCACGAGCAACAGCGGCGCAGGGCGGCTGTCACCGCGTCCCCTCGCTGTGCAATGGAGCCCACGTGGGTGCAGGGCTGGGGAAGGGCCACGTGCCCCTATGTCCCCTCAACAACAGTGTCCCCCCCCTGCGACTGGCAGCAGTGACAAGTGACACTGATCCGCACACAGAGGCCGCTGGCGACACTAAGATCCCCCCTGGGCCCTGTCCATGGTTTTGCTCCCATGTTGGCACCGCCACAGCACCCAGTGTCCAGGGAACCGCGGAGCACCGGGAGGGCTGTTTTCCCCCTCGTTTTCCCATAAAAAGCATTCCCAGGCCGGGCTCACTGAGCCGCCCTGCGCCTCTCTCCCGAACCAGGTTCAGCCTCGACGCCACCGAGCTGGGCAGTGACCTGGAGCAGGAGGACGTGGCCGCGGGGGCCCCGTCCCGCGCGCGGCCCCTCGTGTCCCTGCAGCGGCGCCCGCGGGGCGGCACCGTCATCCAGGTGCAGATCGGGCCGCTGCGGCCCCGCGCGGAGCACGCGGTGAGTGTCCGCGTGGATCCCTGGATCCAGTTTAAAACCAGCGCGGAATTGCACGGCAAAGGAATTGCGCAGCGGTGCCACGTGTCTTCCAGTAAGACACGGGGAGGACCTTGGGGCACAAAGGATCAAGGATGTCCGTGACTTTTTACTCCTCCAGGAATGCGGCAGCAATGGGAAGAGGCTGAGGTCGAGGTCTGCGCCCTCCGCCTGCGCCGAGGCCTCCTCGCCACGCGGCGTCAGCGCCCCTTTGCCGGCCGTGCAAGGTTCGTGTGTGCATCCGCGGCAGCGAATGGATCCAAAACACAGCCATTTTTTGTGATTAAGAAGACACAAAACTGGCGATGTAGCCTCTGGAAGCCCAGACATCCTCTGCCCTTCCCTTCCCAGGAGCTCCCAACAAAGTCACGCTGACTTTGAGTTTGTTCCAGGTGCAGCCCGAGGGCAGACGTGCCCGTCTCCGGGGCCACATTGCCTTGGAGCCTGTCTGTGGCCACGGCACTGCTCCAGGATGGTATCCTAGGAACAAAATGCATCATCTGCTCTTAAATGCCCTCCTAAGGAGGCCTTATGAGCCTGAGGACAGAGAAATCCCTGCTCGCAAGATCTTTCCTTAAGCTCCAGCTCTTATTGCTGCAGAAGGTGGTGACAGGGCTTGGTTCATATGACCGTGTCCCAGCTGGCCTCGTCAGCACCACAGCTGATGCAAACTTAATTGGGGGCCAGTGCTGGGATCTATTAAGCTCTCCCACTTGTGAGGACCAGCCTGGGAGGTAAGGGGGAAGCTGGCTGCCGTGGGGGTCCCCCTTGTTGCAAGCAGGATGCTCAGAAGTCACACAGAAAGGAGGGATAACACAGAAAGGGGATGCAGCCTTTCCCTCGTTCCGAGCATCCTTCTCACCAGCAAAGGCAGAGTTTGAACCTAGAAGGATTATCAGGGTCTAGCTGTGTAGCTTGAAACGTGGTGCTGGGCAAAGCAAGGCAGAATCCCTCCTGAGGGCATTTTGTGTTCCAGGTGTGGAGCCCCCTGCTCTGGAGATGCTGGAGAAGGACCACGTGTCCCCAGACCACGTGTAGGTATCGTCAGCCCTGGCCGCGCTGGCTCATCTGGGATCCCCAAGCATATCTGAGCCCCTGGAGATCCCATATAGAATCACAGAATTCCTATCAATCCTTATCATATCAGACCTTAGGGCCGATCCTGCTCCAAGCTGGGCTGGGCAGTTGGTCATAACGTGGCGCGTGACGCTTCACGGGGAGCAGGACGGGTTTGAAGGGCCTTTTCTAATCCCTCCTTTTCCTTTTGCCTCATCCTGGGCAGGCTGATCGTGCAGCAGGTCCTGCAGGAGCTGAAGCAGTATCACGGGTGAGTGTTTGGGAGTGGGAACCACGGCTTGGGAATGGGATCTGCCCCCTCGCACGAGAGCATCCCGCATTGCCCCGGCTCCTCTCCGAGCGCAGGGCTGGAGCTCCCATGTCCCTGCACAGCGCCGTGGAGGCCACGGGCCCCATCTGGCAAACGACACACAATCCTCCAGGGACAGATCCCTCGGGCCCCGTAATCGCTGGATTCTTCCCACGTTTCTCAAACTGGGGTGAAATCGCAAGGGGAAGTCGCCCTGTCCTTGCCTGTCCTGTCACCCTACGCACAATGTGACTGCCCGTTCCCCGAAGCCGGGGCCTTTCGTATGACCCACAAGTTCTGCTCTCGTGTTTCGAGCTGCGTCTCCGCTGCCTTCTCCCCGCACAGGGCGAAGCAGAGAGCGTGTGTGCGAGAAAGCAGCGCCGCTTCCCAGCAGAACCTCACGTGGTTCGAGTTCCTGTCTAATGAGTAAGTGAGTTCCGAGCCAGGCAGGCGCCTCGTGTCCCCGAGCGCATTCGGATTCCTGGTCCCCCTCCATCGAAGCTCTCCTGCCCTGCTCATCCATGGGCAGGATGCTGGTATCAGCCAGGACTGGGCCTTGGTTGTGCATGGAAGTGGTCAAAAACATAGAGACAGCCAGAAATCGCACAGATAACTTGAAAGCTCAGCTCCATATTTGCAAATTTCCCTGTGAAAGACATGACTGATGCTGAACGTGATCCTTGTGGGATGGAAAAGTCAGAGATGGGGTCCTAAAAACGTGTCAGGCGCATTCCATGGGTGACCCACGAGAGCTCTGTGTGCCTGGTTACCTTCCCCATGGCTAAAAGTTTGGGGGGACTTTTTTCAGAAATGAGGACAGCGGGAAGGCGGATAAAGCAGAGAGAGGCACGAAGGTGATGCGGCGCCTGAGTTCCCTGCGGAGCCGAGTCACGGGGTCCTGGCAGAAGGATAAGGTAAGGGAGAGACGCGGAATTTTCAGGGAGTTTGCTGAGTTCTCCGAGTAGGAAACACAATCTGGCCCAAGTAGTGTGTTGGACGGCTTTGGGACGGCCTCTGTGCTCATCAGCAGATGTAGTGACTTCTAGTATTACGCACTGGACAAAGCGATGCCTGATTTTCAGTGCCTTTGGGAAGGTATTTGGGAAAGCCACTTGAATCCCAAGGACTCAGGCACTGTGGGGCCTTTGTGCTTGCTGTGGCCACCTCTCCTCACGCTCGTTTTTATCGTGAGGAAAAGGGGTTTTGGGGAGAGCAAGTCCTTTAACGGAGCTGTGTTTTCTCTCCTCCAGGGTAAGAACAAAGAGCAGCCCAAAGAGAAGGAGAAAGAACCAAAGGAGCCAAAAGAGAGGTGGAAAGAGATCAATGGGCACCAGCTTGTGCCAGGGGTGTTCTCCAGCTGCACCAGCTGCTCGCTGTGTGCCAAACCTCTTGGGAATAAAAGTGCTCTGCAGTGCCTGAGTGAGTACGGCTGCCACCACCGGCTCCGCCACCCCCTGCCCAAGCAGCCTCATCCACTGCTTCACTTTCTGCCTGCCTTCCCCGTGCCCCACCACCCTGCTTGGCCTGGCTCGGCTCTGCTCCGGACAGACCGAACGAGCTCCACATCCCACCTGGCATTAGCTTGTCCTCATGATCTTTGGCCACCTGAGCATTTCCTGCCCTATTCCCAAAGGGAGCCTTCCGGGTCAACTCCTCCTTCCACCAAGTTCTGCTTTGCCCCAGCTCCTGCTGCCCGAGTCTGGCTGCTCTTTAAGCTCTTTTTCCCCAAACACAGCAATGTCAGCTCCGCCACCACCCCACAGCCGGGCGCAGGGTTCCCTAGAGCACCCAAAGCTTCATTAGCCGACCCCAACGTGCTCCGTGGAGCTGCAAGGGCCACGCTGCTGCTTTGCATTCGTAGCACACGCGAGCGGCACCGGCCCCTTTGCTGGAGCTCCCCGTGGCAGAGGGCACACGCGGGCTTCGCTGCACGGGCCCACGGGCAGCCCCTGCCCCTGCTCTTCAGGACAGGCGCTCAGGGCACTGAAGAACATTTTCTTTCCAGAGGGATTGTCTGTGCGCAGAATAAATCTTTTGGAAAGGAGAGACTTGCTCTCTTTCTCTACCCTGTATCCTCAAGCAATGCTCACTCTCAAGTAGGAGGCTCTCAGAGGATTTAAGGTCAGTAAAAACCTTCCCGGGACAGAAAAGAACTGGCTGCCCTTGGACACGTGTTGAGGAGCAGGAGGGCAGCGTTTCTGGAGGGACATTGAGAGGTGTAGTGAACATTCTGCAGGTTGCAGCCAAGGACAGCAGGGAACTGAGTTGGAGCACGTGTTCCGTGGGTGCTTGAGGATGTGAGAGCAGGAAGAGTCATGCCAAGGCCTTACTCCTGTTTTCCCAAGGAGCTTCATGGCCCGCTGCTGCACAGGGAGGTTCTGGCTCCACGAGGATGCGGTTGGTCACTGGTTGGTGGTCACAGCTCAACATATCGCGTGGGAATGCGTGGGAACGGCGCCCACTGCGGTACCCCCGGCCTCGGCTCTGAGCCCTGCTGGGAGGAATCTGTGTTTCTGAGTCGTGCTAACATTAAGGAGAAAAACTGCAAGGTCACAGATGAGCCGGACGCCCCCGGGGCTCTGTGACACCCCGTCTGGGTTTCGGGGCACAGCGTGTTTTCCTGTGTCCCCTCGGTGGTGGCTTGAACCGAGCAGCTGTGCAGCGCTCGGAGGTGCTTGTTAAAGTTATCGGCCTGTCTCTGGTCGGGTCTGGGTTGGGACCTGCCGTCCGACAACCGTTACTCCGAGAGCGCCCGTGTTTGGGCGATGCCGACCGCGGACACCTCTGCAAACCCCGCTGGGCACCGGAGCCGATGGCTGCGATCCGCAGCCCCCGTTCTTGCAGCACGGAGCGGCGCGGGGTCTCCGCAAAAGGAGATTTGGGGCCGGGCTGTCATTCCCGCTGTTCCGCAGGGAGAGCGGCTCCGTGGGGTCGCGCCGAGCTGCGGTTCGTGGCCAGCAGCCGGGAACAGGCGGCTGCTCCGCGGCTCTGCTCCCGCCGCGGCCGTCCGGCTCTGTCCACCTCGCGGTCCGGTGCTCATGTTTATTTGTTATCTCCATGGTGTTTTTAACGGCAGCACCACCACGTGGTGGAAGGCAAAATAGGCTCCTTCAAAGAAAATAATATAATAAATGGTAAAGGAGAGGGATGAGCTGAAGGCAGAGAGAGGAAGAATGGGGGGACAGTGAGGCCCTCGGGACACGCAGGGTCAGGCGGCGACCACGACTGTGACGAAGCAGAGACGAGAGCTCTGCTTGTGCCAGGAGTGACGGCAGAGCCGAGCGCTTCATTCGGCACAAGTGGTGCTGAATTTGTGTTTGAAATTTGTATTTCTTCTGCTAGGGCCGCAGCGTTTCTGCTGCGGCGTGTGTCCGGAGCGCGGATGCGAGACGGTTTCTGCAGCTTCCGAGGGTGGCAGGGATGAAAAGCAGAGGAATGCTCACGGAAACCGGGATGTCAACAACCGCGGCCACCCAAACTTCACTGTTGTGTAGCCTTCGAGAGAGCCGCTTGGGTTGTTGTTCACCTGGAAACGCGACAGGCTCCCTTTGCTGCCAAGGGTGGAAAAGGTTCTGCGCCCAAATTAATCCTTTCGCATAAACTCTGGAAGCGTGTTTATAAAACAGGAGTTAGATGAATCCCAGGAAAGCCCTGGCAGGAGGAGAGCTCTCCGAGCGGGCCGTGCCGGGGAGGGGACGCCGCGGCGCAAAGGGATCGCTCCGTGCCGGCGACCCCAGCTCGAGCACGGGGGCTGACGTGGCTCTAGGGGTGCAACACCGGCCCCGAAAGCTCCCCAAATTGCAGCTAACGCGTTCAGAAGGCTTCAAACGAATCCTTCTCTTTGCAAAGGCAAAAGATTTGTTGGATCTTCACGAAAAATGCAAGCAGAGGGCTGGGACATCCCCCGGCCGGCTGTCCTAGGCCGACCCGTGCTGGCTGCAATGGGGTGAGTTGCAACAAGGGGTTGCAACAGGCGACAGGGCTGCTTGGAAGCAACTTGCAGGGCACTTCCTTCCTCCTCGCAGCACCGCGGGTAGCGGCAGGACACGGCTCTGCAGTCGGCACAGACCGTTTCCTTCCATCTGCAAAGGAAACAGGCCAAAATATCGCTTGGTCGGGACTGGAAACACAGAGCATGAAGTTCACCTCTTTGCAACCGTCTCTGAGCACTTTTGCTTTTGGATTCCCGGTGCAATAAGCAGCTCTTACGAGAAGCAGAGGCTTGGCTTGCAGTAAGGAGCCGCTGCCTGGTTTTATGTTATGCAGTTTTTTGTATTATGCAGTTTTTTTTGCTGCTAGCCCGCTCGGAGGCCAGAGAAATCTAAAAAGCAGCAGGCAACCTGAAGCTTGCATTTCTGGAAAGAAACACAACTGCCAAAAAGCTGCTATTTTGGGGAAAAAGAGATTTGGCTGCGGTAACATGATGACAGTGATAAATGGACTGGGAGTCCCACTTGGAATAAACGATTACTGACAGGAGTCCAAATAAAACAGGCAAAACCAGAGAGACTATGGGCTAATGCTGTTAAAAAGCCAACAAAGCAGGATGTAAAGCAACTGTGAAAGCGGTCGATGGTTTTGGTTTCAGAGGGAACGCTGACTGAACTACGAATCTGCTGACATGGAGCTGGCCCTGCTCAGCACTCCCTGCAACCCTGGGGGTTTACAGAGGGAGCTGCAAAACGTTTTACTCGAGTCCTTCTCATTTTCTGCTTTTCAGTTTTGTCTCCTATCTGGGCGGTATTGCCTTTGCCTGGAGGGTGTCCAAGCTGCTCTCCCGCGCCTTCCCTTATAAAACCTCAGGATCTCAAAGACTTGGCCTGAGAAACGCGTAAGCTGATCGGGTGGTAATCTACCCACCTCGACCAGGGAGAGGCGTTTTATTCTCACTGCTAATTAAACAGAATTAGGAAGTGGGTGCTATGCTCTTCGCTGCGGCCCAGGCCTTAGCTCCAAGCCACGGTGTGCTCGTGCGGGCTGCCGCGGCAGATTTTCCTGTGATTTTTGCGGAGATGCCCCGGGGGCGGCCGTACAGCACAGGATGTTCTCTGCGAACGCGGCTCTTGGGCAATCTGCGGTGCTTTGCCTCTGTGTTACAGCAAAGCACCAGGTTTGAAGCGCCTGAGGGTGGATCGGTCAGCACGTGGCAGGCAGCTGTTTACCCCCAGATCGCTTCGTGTCCTGATCATTTCCTTGTATTACTTTAGTGCGGAGAGGCCCCAATAAAGGACTGGGACCTCGTTGTACTTGGTCCTGTACAGGAGCAGAACAAGAGAGAACATTTCTGAAAGGCTTGCAACTATTGGATAAATAAATATATATCTATATATATATACACATATATGTGATGGATAAATAAATATATATCTATATATACATATATGTGAAATGGGTCACAGCATGGAAGCAAGAGAGAATATCGGTCCCGTGGTAGTCTGTGGTTTCGCAGGCCCTTTCGGAGCAGTGCTGGAGAGATGGAGGGTTTGCAGAGGAGGGTGTGTTATAAATAATGCGCGTGTTGCGTTTTCCAGCGTGCTGGCAAACACGGATAACGTTCGTGGTGCAGGAGACCGGCGATGGGGATGGTATTGTTGGAAGCCCTGGCAGCGGCGGCCGTAAACGCGGTGCGGATCAGCCCAGGCTTCCCTGACGGAGCAGGGATCGGGCAGAAATCCCAGATCCAGTGTGGGCCCAGGGCAGCCCGTGGAGCCGCCGCTGCCGGAGAGCGGCTCCCCCCGCATGTCCCGGCC